AAACAAGTTGTTATCTTTTTTCTGTAAAGTAGAAACATTTTTGTGTGTTATACAATGCTAGGAAAAAAGTAGGTTCCTCATGGGACAAGGAGTTTTTCCTTTACTTTCTAGAATGATTAAAATCATCACAAACATGAAAGTAGCATGAACATGAGTGACACTACATTTATGAGAAATGTATATATGCCATTAAAGCAGGGATGATTTTGTTATTCCTCTTTTAACAATGATGGTATTTTATACAATAATATTTAACCTTTGCCAAAATGTATTTTTTATATTCTATGTACTGTATTTTTATGATTTGTTACAGCCAGTCATTAAAAAAAGATAGTATAACTATAATGTTTCTTTAAGGCAAAAAGAAAAACTTATTTTTTGAAACACTATTGAGTGTTGAAAACATATCTTGAAATTCTTGTGCATGCAAAAACAATAGTGTCTACAACTTTATATTTTGATACACCATAAAATCTTTGATTTCTTGTGTTAGAACAGTATACATTCCAAAGAGACTTCAAAATCTCTCCTTTGGAACATAATATGCTATAACCAAAGAAAAAATTAGCAATAAGCATTGCTATTCTCACATGCTCTGGCAGCCTCCTTTTCCTAACACCAATTGTATCGCTGCCTTTACTTGGCAAGACTCAGTTTACCATTCAGTAACATCTTTTTTTTCTTGCTTTTTGCTTTCAGATTATATGTCAATTAATTTTGAAAGATGCAATACACACATACAAGAATGTTCCCTACATTTTAACTGTTAGATATACTGATATATTTAAACAAGTTATGTAGTTATCATTTGCTTTTAAAGTCTGTTCACCAGAAATGCATTGAAGGTTTCCTATGTGTAAGAAACTTGCTGGGGGCGGGGGGGAGGTGGGGGGGTGGGGGTGGGTCTGGCAAGGTTTGGCAGTGAGTGTGGACTCATTCCCTTATATAGGGGGTTTATATAAATCAATAAGATATGATTCCTTCTTCTAATTTGGAAAGAAACCTTGTGCCTTTGTTCATCTTGACACCTCATATTTCAGTGCCAGTCTCCTATCCTCTAACCGTTGGAACCTCTACATCCTTCATTATTTCCTCCATGGAGCCCTTTCCACAGGGTTGTAATCAAAGTTCATTGTCTCATTTACCCTCAAGGGGTCTCTGTATATCTATATAGCATTACTCATTTTGCTTTTTGTTATCGTTCCTTTCATGTCTGATTATACCCATTATAGCTAAGCTGTAGGTATGCAATTTATTTGTTTTATTGTATTTTTTCTGTTACCATTTAGTCCCTTTATACTCCCCTCTCCTCGAAATCATCACACTGTTGTCCATGTGTGTGAGTCCTTTTTCCTTTAAGCAGGGTGGTGGCGGAGAGGTTAGGGGGCGGACAGATTGAGCAAAAAAAGGGAAAAAACCTATTCAATTTAAATTAATTAAAATGAAATAACACGAAACATTTAGGTTTTTTTTTTTGTCTGCACTAGCCACATTTCAATGGCTTAATACCCACATGTAGCTCATGGGTTCCATGTTGGACAGCACAGATTTAGACCATTTTCACCATCACAGAAAGTTCTGCTGGAAAGCAGTGTGGCAAAAATCGATAGTGAAGAGGAGATTGTGAGCTAGAAGGGTCGGCTGGGCAGAAGGGGAAAGGGGAAAAAAATGGGACACTGTAATAGAATAAACAATAAAGAAAAATATGTCTATAAAGTTGTAAGCTTCTTAAAGGCAAGGGCTCCAAAATTTTTCACTCATTCAAAGATGGAGGCACTGACCTTGACCACACAAATTTGTTGTCAAGTTTATGAAAATAGGCATTGAAGCATCAAGCACCTGTTTGACACACCCAGTACCTGTCTCAATACTGAGTTCAAAATTTGTCAGTGTCCTCCTTGTGAACTCATCTGTAGCTTTACCACCTCACTTAGCCCAATAACTGGAGATTCCATACTTGAGTTGTTTTTTTCATGAATGAGATTTTTGTTTGATGTCTTTGTCTCTCTATAGACCTTTTCTCCCTTAGGTGTTTCTTTGATGGCTATAATGACAAACTCAGACAAAGAAAAGAACACTTTAATGGGGCTTTAAGACAGAGGTAGTCTATGCAGTTTGCTTTGAGAATAGCTTAAAATAACATGTCTTTCAAAATTAAAAGGGATTCTAGAATATTATATGCCACTTTCTATGCCAAGAACAGCAACTGTTTACTTGACTGAGCTGGCCTGAAGATTTGTAGTGGACAGTGACAACACTGAGCATTCTAAGGACTGCTAGCACATGGGATTGTGTTCACCTGACCACTGTTATGACTTTGGAGATGGAATAAATAACATTCCTTTGCATGGTGTTAATTAGTCCCCTTTCAACACACACACAGAGTCAGATCTTATTTCCAGGGTTTTGTTCATTTGAACGCCTTTCCTTGATTTTTAATACTTCTTTAACCAACGGATTTGCTTTGAATTATATAGGTTTTTGGATTCAGGGACATGAACTTTCTGAATCCCATGTTTTAACTGCTAATTAGTTAATCTCCTACCCAAACAAAGCCTTTGGTATTTCATCTGTGTGATGGGAATAAACACACTTACCTTGTATGAGTATTTTCTTTTGAAGTTTAAGTGAAAAAGAGATGTTTCTTAAAAAATCCTGACATAATACATATTAATATTTCCCACCTTTACCTTTTTAATAGGTATGTTGTTAAGGTCTAATGAACTAATAATATGTTATATAATGAGAGGTGAAGAACACAGAATTTGAGTCAGACCTGGGTTCAAATCTTGGGTCTGCCACTTTATCAGCTGTGTGACCCTGGGGTATTACTTATTGAAATAGTATACTGATTTTTAAGGTGGGAATAATGATTCCTACTTCATGGAGTTGTTGTGAGGAAAATGTGAAATGTGAAATGTGAAACATAAACTGCTCTGTATTAGCCTACTGTCTACCATACACTAATAAGCTGTTACTAAAACACTCTGTTCCAGTTACTATCTGTGGTCTAACTTATGTTCAGCATCTCCCGAGACATCTTCCACTAGATTATAAATTTGTGGAGGGCTAGGAGCCAGATTTGACTCCTTTTTGAATTTTGTAAAACCACCTAGAATAGTGCCAAGAACATTATGCCAGTGTTTGTTCAACTTCTGGCCCATAGAATAAATGCCCGAGATTTTTGGCCTACCCACCTGTCAGCCACCACCCTCAGGATAGCAAATGGGAGCAACAGGCTTTGGTAAATTATTACTTGCAATGGAAGCTGAATCAAATTAATGGGTGCCAAGTATAATGCCTAAACAATTATATTATATGACTGGAACTCTATGAAAGATTATGTACTTGGCTCACTTTTGTATAATATACATTAATTTATTCTGTACCTAGGCTATGTCTGCTGTGTTACTTTAAAAATTGTGTGTGTCTTCTCATGAGTATTATGAAATATAGCCTACTACACAGATGCTCCTGACACGTACTGTTTGCAAATGACTTCATTGTGACTAGTTAGTTATAAGGGAAAAAAAATAAAATAAAAAGAAGAGAGAAAGAGAATTGAATATAAGTAAAAAGGAAGGGACTAATCAGGTTGGATAGATGATGCATTTGACCCTGACTGTTCTGTCTTTGCTTTTCTGACTTTCAGAAGTGGATCTATTTAGTATTATAGTTTTCATGTTATAGTTTTCATTGTTTTAAAATACTATCTTTGTAAAATCATTATAACTATGATGTACTTAAAATATACTTTGTTAATATACTAAAATTAATTACTTGGAAGCAGGAAGAGTAATTCAAAAACATATAGTTGTTAACCAGGAAACATAATTTTAGAAATAAAAATTTTAATGTCTATAAAAAATAAAACATACTGAAAAATTGTCAATGCTTTTCAAAATCTTACTTTTTTCTTCTTATGCAGAAAAATGTTTTGTACAATCTTTCTTTTAAGGTGCTATTTCTGGGAGGTAGATCTTTACTCATTGACAAGAAATATAGAACACAGAAAGTTGAATGGCTTTTCTTAAAATGTCAAGTAATATGAAACAATCAGAATGGGATTTTAGGGTTTTGGGCCCCCCCGCCTAGTATATTATTTTGATCTTTTTATGTGATCTTGTTTATGGAGAAATTGAAGAGCAGACAGACTTATGGTCTGATTGCTTTGTATTGTTTTCAGACCATAAGAGATGCAGGCTTCCGGTCCCTGTCATTATATTTGTTCAGCATTTCTCTGTAAACCAAATCAAGGCCTGTTTTATTGTCTTAGTTAAATCAAATATGATTTCTGTACCTTTTCATTTATGTTTGAAGATATAGTAAAAGTACCCGTCATTGTAGTGTTTATTGAAATGAAAACTTGTGTATGATTATATGATTGCCTAATAGATTTGAAATAAAGGCTGTCAAATTAAAAAAATACTTGGAAAGATTGTATGTGGTTTTTTCTTCCATGCATTTGTGGATTTTGGGGGTTGGAAGGATAAGCAAATTTTTTTGTTTAGTCCAGTAGTACAGAATTTATTTAAAAATGTAAAATTTCTTAATTGCTTTTTAAATTTTTTTATTGTTTATACTATTACAGATGTCTGCATTCCCCTCACCTTTGCCTACCTTCCCCTCACCTCCTCCTTCCCTCTGGCCATCACCACACTGTTGTTTGTGTCTATGGGTTATGCATGTATATAATTTGGCTAATCCCTTCACCTTCTTTTATTCAGCCCCCCTTCCCTCTCCCCTCTGACAACTGTCAGTCTGTTCCATGTATCTGTGCCTCTGTTTCTATTTTGTTTATGAGTTTATTTTGTTCATTAGATTCCACATATTAGTGAAATCAGTTGCTCTTAAGTAAAATATAAGAGAAACACTTTTTGGATAAATGCTATGTAAAGTTAACAAGAGAGAGAGGTTATTTATTTTCTTATACTGTGTCCCCTGATTTCAACCTTTTTTTTCATCTTCCTGTTTTTATTTTTTTCTTAATTTAATTTTAGAGGATTGCTGAAGTATCAAACTAATTTAGATACCCATCCTCCTGGCTGCATCAATCTTAATAGAACCCGCAACCGGAGTATTCACTTACCCGAATATCTCTCAGAACATTTTCATGAATCTTTCCCTGGAGGATTTTCAAAACCAGATGAGGTTACCCGGAACACATCTGTGAAGATATGTATGGAAGAGCCCAGATTCCAAGCTAATTTTCCACAGGTCAGATAATTTTATGTGTTTGATGGTCTCTACAAAATCGATATTCCCATAGCAATTAATCAACGTTGCTTTAAATACATGTTTTTGAAGGTAATAAAGCAACTATTCTTACAGAATAGAACATTTTAGGATGTTTCAGTGGCAAGTTACTACTTACTGTTCCATTATAGGCAGTTGACAGTTCAAGGGGAAAGACCTGTGACATTACAGAATATAACTGACCCTATGATCTTTTGCCTACTATGTCACTGGTTTTGCCACAAGACAGGTAACAAAGATATTCTCCCTGTCCATTGAGAAAAATAGGTTGAATAATAAAAACAATAGTGAGAGAGCTAATAATATTTATCAGTGTAGTATAATTATGGTAAAATATTATGTATGATGTAAATATAAATTGTAAAGTTAACTTATTCACTGTTTATTATTATCTGCTAGGCAATGTGCTAATATGCAATATATGAACATTTTTTTAATAGTCACAGTAACTCCTTGAAGCAATTTCTATCATCCTCTGTTTTCTGATGAGGAAATTATTGCTTGAATGCATAAAATACCCTGAGCAAACTCCACCAAAGTAATATGTGGCAGAAGTAGGACACTAAACTAGATATTGGAATAAAATGCTTGGTTTTAGAAAACTTCCCCAAAATACCTAGTGAGTAGTTTGATAAGATCTACTTAAGATAAAACCATAATCTTTCTTTGTGGCTATAGTAGCTGCACATGTGGAATTATACCCTGTAGTCTTTGTACCAACTGGAAGTAGGGGAAACAGTGATGTAGAGTGTTTTAAGAAGAAGAAAGAGAAAATTAGAAAGAGTAAAAGCAGTCAGATACAAGGTGATAAAGGACACTAGACTTCAGGTGGTGAGCACATAACAGAGTATGCAGATGTTGTGTTATAAAGTTGCACACCTGAAAGTTATATAATGTTATAATCCAATGTTGCCTCAGTAAATTTAATTTAAAAAAGAAGAAAGAGGAGTTGAAAGGTAGAGTTGTTGATGACTTTGGAATGAGTGTGATATTCTTGTGTATATTATTAATAATAACCCTCTAGATTTCTATTAAGCTTTACAATTTTCCAAACTTTTCTGCTGTATGTTGGGCAGAGCAAGTGTTGTGACTCCCATTTTACTTATGTGTGACCTGATTCTCAAGGGTTCAGGGACTGTCCCAGAGTTGCAAAACTGCTGTCACATTGTAGAGCTTATCCTGTGATTCTTACACACAGTGTCAAAATGTCAGGAAAGGTATAATTTGTCTCCAGGGAAGGAGGGAAGTCTGCAATAACTATGTAAGAAAGGTTTTAAAAAGTGACCATTAAAATAAGTTTGGGTTGGAGGCTTCTGAATGCAGAGGGAGACAGGGCGTGCAGTTTAGGAGAGAAGGTCGGCTGCAAAGGCCTCTGCACTCCCTGGGTGTCAGGGCCACTGCTCCAGCATGCATGGAGCATTGTTATGCTTTCCAGATCCTAAATATTCTTTTTTTATGTATTCACATTCCATTTATTATGTAAATATAAGTTGTGAACAGCATGCCTAGTCGATACCATATTTAAAAACATGCACGTGCACATATTCTGCAGTTTGTATATGTGTTTATGCATGTATGTAATACATTAAAATACCTAGGGTTCTCTAACAAACATCGGACTGGTGCATGGTTGCTAAAATCATCTTCAGATTTACTTGAGCTTTTAAATTCCCTTTGATCTCTCTTTAGAGAAAAGTTTTGTGTAAATGCATTACGTATTCGTTGTGTGCACAGAGGATGTATGAAACAGTATATGCGTGATGAACTGTTAATGGGAGCTATATCCGAGGCAGTGGTTTGAGAGGAGGGTCTTGATATTACTGTACCTTTTATTTTATACTTTCCTGTTATTTGAATGTTACAGTGAAAACCTGTTATTTTCTTTTACATTTTATTATTTAGAGTATAGATTATGATATTTTTAATATGTCAAATAAACAAGTAGACAGGATCTAAAGTCCTACAATACAAGTATTTCTTAAAGTGCATTTTAAAAATTCTCTGTTAGACTTGGCTTTGGATTTCTGGACCTTTGTGCCTGTATTGTGCTGAAAGACTTTACAGGTGCATCCGGAGTAATAAGCCAGTCACCATCACCTCGGTCATAAGTCATCCTTCGGATGTCATGGAAATTCAAATGGTTAAAGAAAATTTTAAAGCCAGACCTGGCCAGGTAAGTCATTGTCCAACAACTTTTAAAATACCCTTTATTCTCATGTAATTTTTGAAAATTGGCAAATTCATGCTATCTTTGGAATACTTGAACTTCTTTCTTAGTCATTTAACAATTTTTTGTTGCTTTTTAGTACATTATTCTACATTGTCCCAGTGTGTCTGCATTAGAAAACCATCCATTTACCCTCACAATGGTAAGAAACTTGATTTTAAATTTTTTTAGAATGAAATGCATGTTTTTCTTTGTTGAGTGTATATTACACCTCATTCTAAAACTCATTCAAGGCTGTCACAATATCCTTAATGTTTAAGCAAGTCATCTTTTTTACAAAGAAACATAATTATCTGTACAGAAAACTTGTAACTGTTATTTATTATTTTCTACCATTTTAAGATTCAAAAAGTAACATATTTAAAATTTATTAAATCTTGATGTTTCAAAATGCAGAACATTTCCTTGATATTTGCTCTCTTCCTTTTATGAAGTATGCACCAAAATATAATATGTGCATGATTTTCTTGGAAGAGATTGAATCCATGGGAGAAGAGGGTACTTTTTTTGAGTTACGGTGAAAGGATAAGAAAATCCAGGCAGTGTTTAGATAAGAAAAAGTCCAGTATAATTGGCACTCATACTGTATATGGAGGAGGAAAAAGAAAATAAAGTCAGAAAAAAAATGGAATAAAATAATGGAGGGGGGCACCCAGCTAAATAATGAAAAGTCATCAAACAGTTTTGCACATTGCTAATATTATTATATGTATCATAAAAATGGCACAGCCATTATAAAAAGTAAATAATTTACAAGTAAATAAAATAAAATAGGAACTTTTCCTCATTTTCCCCTTTTCAATTATTTTCTCTAGAGTTTGATGTATATTCTTCTAGACATTTTCCAATATAATTTGGCATACATAGGTGTTTGGCATGTTTGTTGAATCATTTATTTTAAAATTTTCTTTCACTCTACAATATATTATGGGCAATTTTTCATGTTACTATATTTTTATATTTCTCATTTTTAAAATAACTGCACAATATTTTACAATTTATTTAATATTACCCATTGATCATGGGGATCGAGATTTTATTCAGTTTCAGACAAAGTTAGCTGAGAACAGGAACCACATGTTTAAATATATGCTTAACATAAGCAAATAACATTAAAGAAATTATGAGGTGGGAGGCAGATAAAAAACTGGTGTGACCTCAGTGCTGAGGTGTCAGATTGAGGTTCACTAGAATTAGAACTGCTATCGAATTTGATGTGCCCTTGAGAACATGTACTTGTGAAGAGAGCTAGGCCAGAAAAATCTATACTTAACAGATAAGATAAATAAAAGGGAAATGTCAAATGGTTCGAGAAAAAATAGAAGTTATTTGAATAGATAATTGCAGTTCTTTAATAGAAAAAAATTTGCTTCATTGCTCCAAATTTAGCATTCTGTTCTGTCTATATGTAGTAAATTTATATATTAATGATTAAGAAAACAGTATTGTAGTTACAAGAGGGAAGGGGTATGAGGGGGGTAATAAATGATGAAGGGTGTCAAAAATACAGTGATAGAAGATTTGACTTTGGGTGGTGGGTGCACAATGCAACATCCAGATGATGTGTCATAGACATGTACACTTGAAACCTGTATTACTTTATTAACCAGTGTCACCCAGTAAATTTAATTTTTAAAAAAGAAAATACGGTTTGGAATCTAGAGAAATAATAGCATTCTATTATATCAAGATTTAAGTTCAGGAGTGAGTTGGATGGAAACAAAGAAATTGGATGCTTGGAATTCTATATTCATGAATTTTTCATTTTATCTGACCATCTGTGTACCATGTATAATGGTTTGTAGCCTTCCCAGATAGTATGAGAATCAGCTCACTAATAGTATTCCCCAAGGGAGTTTCTGTTTTTATAAGAGGGAAAAGAAGCAAATCTTCCTGCTGTCTAGAAATACATTTGAGTAGAGAAAACATTTTTAAGCTAAATTTTACATGGTGCTGTTTGGTTAATTTACCATTTTGCTGATCTTAAACAGAGATACAGATGTTTGTCCAGAAAATTGGGTTTATTTGTGAACAACAAAGAACTGCAATTTGGCACATGTAGTCTAATGGTAAACCTCTTGCAAGTACAAAGAACAAAGGAGAAACTTTGTTTTATAGAAAAAAAAAAAGGGAATTCAGAAGGGTTGTGTAAACAGAATCCATTGGAGGAGACTGAATGTTTGAAGTGTAGTGGCTCTTCATTGGCTGAGTCTTAACAGTCATTGGTAGTTGCTGGACAAGAAGATCCTACTTCTTCATATGAGAGTAGGTAAGAAGAAAAATATCTTCCTGTTGGAGATGGAAACTATGTCTCTTCCTGTTGGGGTAATTTACTGAGTGGTGAGTGAGAGCTCCCCCTAAAGGCCCTCACAATTCAAATTTAAATTAGGTTTCTGTTTATTAATCACACTAACTTTTTCTGACTGTCCCTTCATTCTGTCCAATTAGTTCTGTTTGGCACTTATACATGTAAAATGCATGCTTCTTAAACATTGTCACTGGCTAGTTCCCTTAAGGGTTCCTTTAAAAAAATATTGTTTATTCTATTACCATTGTCCCAATTTTTTCCTTTTGCCCTCCTCCACCCAGCCCACCCTTCTCTCCCACAGTCAATGCCCTTTTCATTGTCCTTGTCCATGAATCATTCATACATGTTCTTTGACTAATCCCTTCCACTTCCTTTCTCCATTTCTCTCTTCCCTCCTCTCTTCCTACAACTATCAGTCTGTTCCATGTTTCCATGTCTCTGATTCTATTTTTCTCATTAGTTTTTTTGTTCATTAGGTTCCAGTTGTAAGTGAGGTCATATGGTATTTGTCTTTCACCTACTGGCTTATTTCACTCTGTAGTCGTCTCTAGTTCCATCCATGTTGTCATGCCAAAGGTAGGAATTCTTTCTTTCTGCTGCATAGTATGCTATTGTATAAATGGATCACAGTTTTTTTAATCTACTCATCTACTGATGGGCACTTGGGCTATTTCCAACATTTGAACACTTGGCTATTGTCAATAGCACTGCCATGAACATTGGGGTGCATAGGTTCCTTTGGATTGCTGTGTCAGAATTCTTAGGATATAATCTCAGCAGTGGAATCACTGGGTCAAAAGGCAGTTCTATTTTTAGTTTTTTGAGGAAATGCCCTACTGTTTTCCACAGTGGCTGTACCAGTCTGCATTCCCACCAACAGTGCTCTAAAGTTCCTTTTTCTCCACAGCCTCACCAGCACTTTTTTGTTGATTTATTAATGATAGCCATTTTGGCTGGTGTTAGGTGATATTTCATTGTGGTTTTAATTTGGGTGTTTCTGATGGCTAGTGTTGTTGAACATTTTTTCATGTGTCTCTGGGCCCTCTATATGTCCTCCTTGGAGAAGTATCTATTCAGGTCCTTTCCCCCTTTTTTAATGGGGTGTTTTCTTTCGGATGTTGAGTCTTATGAGTTCTTTTTTTTAAAGATTTATTTATTTATTTTTAGAGAGGGAAGGGAGGGAGGAAGAGAAAGAGAGAGAGAAACATCAATGTGTGGTTGCTGGGGGCCGTAGCCTGCAACCCAGGCATGTACCCTGACTGGGAATTGAACCTGCGATACTTTGGTTCGCAGCCTGCACTCAATCTTATGAGTTCTTTATATATTTTGGAGATTAAACCCTTGTTCAATGTATCATTGGCAAATAGATTCTCCCATATGTGTGGTTCCCTTTTTGTTTTGATGATGATTTCTTTAGCTGTGCAGAAACTTTTTAATTTGATGTCATCCTATTTGTTTATTTTTTCCATTATTTACCTTGCCTTAATATTGACAAAAGTATTGTAACATGGGATGTCTGAAATTTTGGTGCCTATGTTTTCCTCTAGGACTTTTATGATATCATGAATTATATTTAAGTCTTTTATCCATTTTTAGTTTATTCTGGTGTATGATGTAAGTTGGTGGTCTAGTTTCATTTTTTTGCATGTACCAGTCCTGTTCTCCCAACACCATTTATTGAAGAGACTGTCTTTACTTCATTGTGTACTTGTGTCCTGTTTGTCAAATATTAATTGACCATAGAGACATAGGTTTATTTCTGGGCCCTCTATTCTGTTCCATTCATCTATGTGTCTGTTCTTATGTCAGTACCAGGCTGTTTTGATTACAGCGGCCTTGTAGTATTGTTTGGTATCAGGTATTGTGATTCCTCCAACTTTGTTCTTCTTTCTCAGGATTTCTGTGGCTATTCAGGGTCTTTTTTGGTTCCATATAAAGTTTTGGGGTATTTGTTCTAGAGCCATGAAATATATCATTGGTATTTTAACAGGGATTGTATTGAGTCTATAGATTGCTCTGAGTTTTTAGACATTATAATGATGCTAATTCTTCCAATCCATGAACACAGTATATGGTTCCATTTATTTGTATCTTCCTTAATTTCTTTCTTCAGCATCCTAAAATTTTTCGAGTACAGGTCTTTTACATCCTTGGTTAAATTTATTCCTAAGTAATTTTTTTTTCTTATTGCTACAGTAAATGAGATTTTTTTCTTAGTTTCTCTTTCTGATAATTCATTGTTGATGTATAAGAGTGCCATCAGTTTCTGAATATTGACTTTGTATCCTGCTACTTTACCTACTTCACTTATTAGGTTGAGTAGTTTTTTGGTGGAGACTATAGGGTTTTCTTTTTTTCCCTTTTGTGGAAATAATATGAAACATTTATGATTTACTTTATATATGAGACAAGAACAGAACTAAGTATTATAACTCTACTGCAGCATTATAAAAATCATCCCTTCACAGCCCTGGCTGGCGTCGCTCAGTGGATTGAGCATGGGCTGGGAACCAAAGTGTCCCAGATTCGATTCCCAGCCAGGGTACATTCCTGGGTTGCAGGCCATAACCCCCAGCAACTGCACATTGATGTTTCTCTCTCTCTCTCTCTCTCTCTCTCTCTCTCTATCTCCCTCCCTTCCCTCTCTAAAAAATAAATAAATAAAATATTAAAAAAAAATCATCCCTTCACCACAATGTAAGATTGAAATACATCTGCATAAGGGTACGTGTTACTTAAAGTGTAGTAAGAGTGCTACTGCCTTACCAAGCCCCTTCCCAGGCCCTACTACAAAACAGGTTTTCCTAGTAGTTTTATTGAAATAAATCATTTTT